TGTCTCTCCTTATCAGCATACAATCCATGTTTCTCCTTATCAGCATACGATCCATGTCTCTCCTTATCAGCATACAATCCATGTCTCTCCTTATCAGCATACAATCCATGTCTCTCCTTATCAGCATACGATCCATGTCTCTCCTTATCAGCATGTGATCCATGTCTCTCCTTATCAGCATACAATCCATGTCTCTCCTTATCAGCATACAATCCATGTCTCTCCTTATCCATGTTATCAGCATACAGTCCATGTTTCTCCTCATCAGCATACAATCCATGTCTCTCCTTAACAACATACGATCCATGTTTCTCCTTATCAGTATATGATCCATATCTCTCCTTATCAGCATACAATCGGATCATCCATGTCTCTCCTTATGAGCATAGATCCATGTCTCTTCTTATCAGCATACGATCCATGTCTCTCCTTATCAGCATACGATCCATGTCTCTCCTTATCAGCATACGATCCATGTCTCTCCTTATCAGCCTGAGGACATTTTGAAATGGGAAACCTATGGATAACGTCACCAGTTCCAGTCGAACATGGTGAAACTTCAGGGCTCAATAACTCCTGCAAATCTGAAAACATTGTTAGGTGACAATTTTTTTGTATTTATATGCTTGTACCATCGTATGATGCCCATATCATGAAACACAGATTCAGCATTTGTCCAGTTCTGGCATGTTTTAACGTAGTCACCGGTTGATTGGGAGAACACGATTGTATAGCTGATTGATATTTCCGGCTTAGTTTACGAGACAATACACAATGTAATCTTTATTCCTGCATATAAAACAATGCCTAGCATAACAAGAAATACAGTCGAAATGGTAAATCATCATGTCTAGTGATGTTTAATCGCAAATTTCATATTTTCATGGACAAAGTTTCTTATAGCGTTGTTCATTCACCTGAAGCGATACAACGTAGTTTTTTAACCAACAGAAAAAGAGTTTGTCAAAAAAGTGTAACCCATACATAAGCCGACCCCTTTCTACAGAATCTTTTTTCTGGTCTTCAAAATTCCGCTTATCTACGGTCATATACGGTATATGGTGATGCGCCATACTGGCTAGTTACCTGTCTGTCATATTTAGAGCTGTGGTGTTGTACCATAACCAAACCTCAGTGATGTTGAACACATCTCAACCGCTTCCATGGTCTAGTGGTAGAGCATCCGCCCGGAGAGCGGAAGGTCCGGGGTTCGAATCCCAAACCGCGTCATACCAAAAGACGTTTAAAGATGGTACTTGTTGTTATCCTGTCTGGCGCTCGGCATTAAGGGGCTAAAACAAGGACTGGTCGGCTTAGAGTCAGTATACTGTGTCTGAGTAGGGTATTCATTAGGGGTGACTATTGAGGCATTTTTTACTATTGCGATACTATTGCGATAGTTAAAACAACTATTGCGATACTATTGCGATAGTGGCCCTACTATTGCGATAGTTTTCACTTGCAATTATAGCAGGCTTTAGCAGCATATATTTCAGCATTTTGACTGACACCATCAAACTAATTATAACTTTCTGATACTATGTGTAAAGAAAACAAGAAATGAAAAGAAAACAAGTTCAAATTGACCTCTCAAAAACATTTTGATACAAAATTTCACTTCATGTAACTGGTAAAGTCTTAGGTTACTGCTGTGTTTTAGCACCAATGTGAATGAATGTGATAGAATGACTAGTATTTGATCCCCCTTTTTCACGTGGACGAATATCGGGGTGCCGTCTTGTCAAGTGGTCTGTCAGATTAGTAGTATTTCCTGAATACTTTAGAATTATCCGACAGATTCTACATCTTACTTTTTGCTTGTCTGTCTCGTTTTGCGTTTTGACAAAGCCAAAATGGTCCAATACCCGCGATTTGCCTGCCTTATTGGCGACAATTTCGAACTGACATGTGGCGTCCGCCAACTTGTCAATGTTGCCTAGCGACGAGTAGCTAAGGGACGTAACTCTAAATCAAGCAGACAAAGTAGTGCAATCCAAACGAAAGCACGACAGAGGTTAGATGATCATAGGAGTTGTTTCTATGTTTTTTAAGAAAGTAAATGTACCAAACAAATTAAATATCGAAACTATCAATAGTTAGACAAACTATCGCCAATAGTATCAATTGTTTCAAGTTGCAATCGATAGTGTACTATCGTGAGACAAGCAATCGCAATCAATCGATAGTTCGATGTATCGTTACACCACTTACTAAGTATTCATGTTAAACTGTGGCATGGTATCTCAGTGTGCTAGCACTATAAATCGGCATCAGTCTGGACTAGTACAAGCAGCCACACAAACACACACACGTACATGCACGTTGCTATATAAGTGCAATAATTTTGGACGCTAAACCCCATTTCACCTCACCTCACCTAGAACTCATCTCACTGATTATTCAGAGTAATACCCAACATTCGTTTTTGAGGTTTAATGCAAATCACAAACCAAAAGAAAATTCACGAAATGCTCACACATGTTACATCCAACTCTCTGAACTAGTAAGGATGATGGTCACAGCTGGTGTATGACACAGACTCAATTAAATATGGTGGATGGGTATCTTGTCACACAGAGGTTAGGGATCTTTTCACACGAAGGTTAGGGATCTTGTCAAAATAGTGATGAAGCTGAAAATGAAATTACGTGTGTTGAATTGCCTTTAGAGAGATTTGGTTCTATATTTACATTGTTTTCAACATGGCCGATTCATTCCAAAGTGTGTTTCAAAATACATGTGATGCCAGTCTACTTGAATCCAAAAACTAAATTAACCTTGACAGCTCTGCTGAACTTTTGACTAGACCTTATTCAATATGGATTTTTGTCATCAGTACTTCAGTAGAATAATTTATCATTTTAATTAACATTATTAAGTGAAAAATGATATGTCCATTCAGTGGGCTTACAAGTATGGTAGTCATGGTAGTTGCACATAGTCTATCGTAGTTAGAGAGCGTGGCTGCATAAGCACGATCAGGATGTCAACATGTGTGACTGTATGGCAATTTTGTTCCAGAACATTGACATTGCAGCAGTCTGTGACTCGAGCCACTAGTCCGAAGCACATGTCTCCTAAAATTCTGCTCGGTCTAGTAAGCTCAGCTAATTTGGTCCATATCATAACATAAAATCTGCTGATATTTATTGAGGCTCAGGCTTAGGCAAGCACTGAGTGAGTAATGGTTTTACGCCGCTATTAGCAATATTCCAGCAATATCACACCGGACATGGGCTTCACACATTGTACCCATGTGGGGAATCAAACTTGGGCCTGCGGTATGATGCTTTAACCACTAGACTACCCCACTGGTACCTTTGGTCTGTTTCAGGGCAGAACAGCAACTCAGTACCCTAGAACAACTGTGATTGTATTTGTTGTGTTTGACCATCTCCATGCCATGGTCTAGTGCTAGAGAGTCCGCCCAGAGTGGGGAAGGTCGAGGGTTCGATTCCCGGCCGCGTCACACCCAAATACATTAAAAGATTGTACTGGTTGTTACCCTGTATGGCGCTCAGCATTGAGGGGCTAAAACAAGGGCTGGTCGGTATGGAGTCAATGATATGTATCTTACTGAGGTATTCATATTCAACTGCGGCATGGTATCTCAGTGGGCTAGCATTATATAATCGGCATTAGTCCGGACTAGCACACATACAGCAACTTCAGCAACCCATGCTTGCTGTATAGGGCGACTATGCTTGTCGTAAGAGGTGACTAATGGGATCGGATGGTCAGGCTCGCTGACTTCGTTGATACATGTCATTGTATCCCAATTGCGTGGATCGATGCTCATGATGTCAATCACTTGATTGTCTGGTCCAGACTTGATTATTTACAGACTGCTGTCATATAGCTGGAATAGTCCTGAGTGTGGCTTTATACAATAAACAAACCAACAAAACAAACAAACGTAATAACATGGCACAAGATGACGTCAGAACATGATTTGAACTCCCGGTCATTAAGTGACCTTGACTTTAACAATGTAAACATGAGCCATGTGGCTCATCATTAAAGTAGGACATAACAGTATGGACACCATATTTTGTTCAATTCATGAAGATTTAGTAAGTTTATTGTTTCACAAGAAGTTTAAACATTTTATTCTCAAGAACCAAAAGGCTTAGAAACTTTTCGTGCATGTGGGTGTAGGAATATGTAGCAAAGAATATTTTTTCTCGGTTTTTTTTTCTCAGTATTTGTTGAACCAAATTTACTGAAAAAAGTTCTGAAGCATTAGTCATCTCATGTAATAGTAAAAAAGAAATAAGCACATATCCAGGTGAGCTACAGTCCCATGACACTTTTCTCTATTGTATGTAGCAGGTTCAGGCATCTCGCAATACTTTCCATACACATCACTACACAATCACACACAGATTCAATTCGGGGCGGTCGGGTAGCCTAGTGGTTAAAGCATTCGCTCGTCAAGCCAAAGACCCGGGTTCGATTCCCGACATGGGTACAATATTTGAAGCCCATTTCTGGTGTCCCCCGCCGTGATATTGCTGGAATATTGCTAAAAGCGGCGTAAAATCAAACTCACTCACTCACTGACAGATACAATTCATGCCACAGTCTGTTTGCTGCCAAATCGCACTGATGAAATGCAAAATAGATATAAATCCGAAAGCAAGAATTCATCTTAAATGGCGTGAAACTTATTTATTTGTCCATATCAACTTGTCACCATAATTATAGATATTGTCATGAAGTAGAGAAAAAGTTGTTTAACAAACTGTAATTGTTGGCATTTTATGGCATGCATGGGTTACTGTAGATCTATTCTACCCCGGATCTTCACGGGTCCATAGGTTATGGTATCACAGTGGAATACATAGGGTACATCATGTATGTGATAATTCCTGGAGTCTTCCAGAAAGGACAGAGAAGGAGCTGTTTCTGTTTTTCCAAATACTTGCACACACCTGTTTTTGTTCATATATTTATTATGAAATGTCAGAACCTTCTATATTGTAGTTGTATTGTTTCAGCACTGGGAGGTGTTCCGGAAGGTGTCGGAAGTATTTATCCTCGTCCCATCCCTACTGGGCCTGAAGGGCAACCTGGAGATGACGCTGGCTTCACGGCTGTCCACACAGGTAATGAGGCACCAGCAGCATGCAGCAGCAAGAAGGTCACTGGAGGAGATATCTCAGACCAGCTGCTCTTCAGTCATACTCAGTGTTAGGAACTATGAAAGCAAATCAAGGGTCCTTGCCAGAATTCAAATGTTAAACATCAAAGATTAAGGGTCCTAGATTCAAATGACCGCCTCCGTGGTCTAGTGATAGAGCAATCACCCGGAGAGTGGAAGGTCCGGGGTTCGGTCCCTGGCCTTGTCATACCAAAAGACTTTTAAAGATGGTTCTTACCCTGTCTGGCGCTAGGAATTAAGGGGCTAAAACAAGGACCAGTCAGTATACTGATGTATAAATGACACAGTGAAAGTAAAGAAAGGGGGTCTCCAAAAATTATCACATCTTTATGTGGCGGGGGTCATGAAATACTCACCGAGTTCTATTTTTTCAAATATGAAAGATATACATTATGTAGGGACTGGTTATTTATTATATAGAGGAGGGGGGCTGGGGGGGAGGGGGGGTTGTTATACATTTTGTGGTTGTTGTTTTTGTCGATAAAAAATAAATGACCAGTCCCTTAATGAAATGTACATTGTTGGAAGACAATACAATTTTAACATTGTAATAGTCATCTCTTGTAATCATGATAATAACTGCAACATTTCTGTTCAACAGGCCAACCTTGGCAATATGGAGAAGCGCTCTGAGAAGTTAAAAATGATTGGCGGCAATATGGCGCTTGTACAGGTAACACATTCTACCGTTCCAAGACTTTCTGGTTTCTGTAACAGCCACATAATCATATCATTAAAAAAACGCTTAAAGTTACCGTATTTTCTTGAGTATAGTGCGCACCCATGTATAATGCGCACCCCCCTCTAGCGGGTTCAATATTTTGGAAAAAAGGAAATTTGAATATTATGCGCAGAAAAAATTTACACCGTACCCTTTCAGCGAAGTCCGGCAAACGAACGGGTGCTGAGAAACTTCGTCAGTACAAATTCAAATACATGTTTATTTACCGTTTAAATACATGTAGTATTTATTGTTCTGCTAGGCATTGTTTTTTATCTAGGGATTAAGATTACCTTGTGTATTTTCTCGTAAACTAAGCCGGAAACAGCAATCAGCTGTACACACGTTTTCTTGGTAATTTAGGATCATCAGGGAAAAAAGGCCATGAATGATAACCATCTCAGGCTAGTTGACTCAAAAGTTTTCGGCACAGACTGTTTTAATACAGTTTCAGGAATAATTGTTCTGAGCAGGTTGATCATCCACAGGGACAGGCACCGGCTTGTGTTCTCGTGGCAGTTTGTATCTCTGCTGTCTTGTCGGTTTTAACAAAAGTGTAATATATAAGTCTCCATGTAATGCATCTGATAAAGAGCTGGCTCTGAAGAAAATTATACATTTGTATATATGCATACATCACTTCCTGTTACATATACAGTCAAGTCTCGTTAATCCGCACTCGTTAATCCGACAATCGGCTTTATCCGACACTAATGATGGGAACCAATTAAATCAGTGCTATTTAGACCCGCTAATCCGACAGTCTCGCACTCCGACTCCGACACACCTAATTGGCAACAAATTGCTGAAATCACTCATTAATCAATCTCATTAATCGACACAGTGATCAGCGTACTCCGTGGTCTTCTGCCCGTGAGTACACAGCCAGTGTTTTGATGCGGGGCGAGTCGGCTGGTAGCTGCATATTACAAAGCTACAGAGATAAACTTGCTTAACAATAAACAATTAAAGCTTTAAATAAAGAAAACAGGATAATTCACATGCTTAGATTACCTCAATCTTATTAAAATCAGATACAAGTTCTCGCTAATGACGAGGCCATCCCATTACAAGTCACGTCAGAACAACCTTTCGCGAACTATGACTAAATTTCGTTAATCCGACATACTCGTTAATCCGACACAATCATATGCAACCATCGATGTCGGATTAACGGGACTTGACTGTATGTCACAAATATTGATATGATTTTTGTGTCACTTTTGTCAGGCCCAAGCAATAGTTGTGGGTTTCCTGGCATCCATGGCTGCTATGGTGTTTGGATGGATACCTGAAGGGAAGTTTGATATTCAGCACGGCCTTCTCCTGTGTGCTAGCAGTATATTCACAGCTTCAGTAGCCAGCTTGATATTAGGTGAGTTTCCTATTGCCACAAACTTCCAAACTTGACTTTTTCAGATTTTGATTTTATTGACAGTGATACTTGATCAGCCATACTTGTTGGGTACTGTTGATTACATATTCTAAATTATTGGATTTCATTTATTGTTGACACTGGTGCATTGATTAATTGACCACAGCTGACATAAGCATGCAATATCTGACCCTGGGAGCAATGGTGAGGATTCTGGGATAGAATGTGTCCCCAATAACACATGCTTGTCCTCAGAGGTGACTAAAATGGATCATCTGGTCCGACTCAGCTTGGGCGGTCGGGTAGCCTAGTGGTTAAAGCATTCGCTCGTCACACCCAGGACCCAGGTTCGATTCCTGACATGGGTACAATGTGTGAAGCCCATTTGTTGTGTCCCCTGCCGTGATATTGCTTGAATATTGCTTAAAGCGACATAAAACCAAACTCACTCACTCACTCAGACTCAGCTTATTGTGTGGCATCATAGAAGACATTTATCATAATGTTAATCATTAACTTGAGTGCATTGACATCTGGAAATGACCTCTTGTATTCTTTACAGGTGCAATAATGGTAGGTGTAGTGTTGATGTCCCGCAAGTTGCGCATCAACCCTGACAACGTGGCCACGCCCATAGCAGCGAGTCTGGGTGACCTGACAACACTGTCCCTGCTGGCTGGAGTTAGTACGCTGCTGTACGAGGCAATAGGTACGACCACTTCACATCACAGGAGAGTGAAACAAGTTATATTGGTAAATGTAGACATCCAAAACAAACACAGAATATTCATTGTCAGAAACTAACCATTATACAAAGGCCGACAAAAAAACATATTTCATTCATTAAAACACCACCTTTTGAAACGCAGAACGTATTTCAAGCTGAGTTATTCTTCAGTCAGTTTCTTTCCCATGCCCAGCAATGACACCAGCGTTATTTGTTTGGACAAAGGAGATATGAATTTTCACTCTTTGAAATGTAGCCTGTTCACAGCCTTACACATACTAATGCCATTCAAATGATTCATAATAGCAGATAAACTTGAAATCTTGACTTTTTATTTCGAAGGTTTATTTCATTTAGGGTTATCATGGTTATATTTGAATGTGACCAAAAACCTAAATATGATGAATACTAGCTGTGCTTTGTCGTGTTGTGCATGGTATTGTGTAGCAACACACTGAAGGTACAAGTTGACTCTATATACATTAGTCATGGCAGTAGCATTGGTCGTATAGTGCTTGTAGCAAGAGTAGTTTGTAGTTCTAGACATTAACTAGTTGCAACTTTTGTAGTAGTTGTAGTAGTAGTAGTAGTAGGAGTTGCAGTGGTAGTAGTAGTGGTTGTCATGGTTGTTGATTATTCGTTTTTGCAGTTAATGCTGTCGTTGTTGTTGTAATAGTAGGAGTAGTATGTTGTCATAGGTGCTGTAGTGCTGAAGACAATTTGACACTCATTTATATAAATAACATAACCACTAATATTGCTCACTTGATGGCCCCATTGGTTAAAACAACAGTTATGCTGATTAATATAAAAGATACCACATTGGGACCTCGTGCGAATAATGTGTTCAACACTTTGACATCCTGCGAATACACATTTAATGTAACCTTGCAAAATGGTCTGTTTCTGACACTGCACACAGGGGTTTACCTTGACCTGCTCAGAGGCTGATGTTCAGCCTTCTGCAAATGTCTAAAATTATCCAAATTGCAATTACAAATTTCTCAGTTCATTTTATGTAGTGTTATAGCTAAAATGGATAGAATTATCATTGAACCACCCGCATGTTATCAGAAATGAGCGGGCCACTGTAACTTGATAATGCTTTCATATTGCTTGACGACGGGCCATTATCACGCCTGTTGTTATGTGATGTCATAGGATAGGGATAGGAGACGTCACGGTAAATAGTGACGTCATCTGGTTTGTTCTATGACGTTTCCATATTTGTAAAAGTGGGTCAGTGACATTCGTGTTGATTGCAGTAAATCTTTCAAAACTGATATTTTTTTTATTCTTTTTATTTGATAACAAATTCCATCCATTTCAACTATAATAACGGTAACGCTATTTTTCAGGGCATTATCATTTGCAGAAGCCCTCGGTCTTTTCAACTGCCCTCCTTCGTAGGGCAGTTAATGGATGACCTCGGGCTTCTGCAAATGATAATGCCCTGAAAAAAAGCGTTACCCTTATAATTACTTTGTCAGAGGTGATTTGTATTTCACTGAGCAATTTAAGGAGAAGAAGGATTTTTCCCATATTTCCTTTGGAGGGCACTTCATTTGAAATCCTAGATAAATCTGTGGCATATGTTGTGTTCGTTTTTGACCGCCTCCATGCTCTAGTGGGTACCCGGAGAATGGAAGGTCATGGGTTCGATCCCTGGCCACATCATACCAAAAGATGTTATGTATGGTACAGCGGTAGAAACTAACATTTTTAGTCCATTAGTCCTTATCATGATAACATATAGCAAAATCCTTAATAATGGCAAGTTTCTACTAGTCCTTATGATACCTTAAGTATTGGGCAGTTTGGCAAGGACTACAGGACCAGTGCCAATTTTTAACGCTTTGGTACTTGTAGTAACCCTGTCTGGCGGTCAGCATTAAGGGGCTAAAACAAGGACCGAAATAGTATTCAGACGTTTACACTGTAATAAGGTTTAATCCCATAATTAAGTAGATTAATTAAAAGTTGGATGTCATGCCACTTTAATAAGCTCCCTAAGCTTTCCCTACAGTGTATATTCACTATAATCATTTCTTTTGTTTTCAGGAAAACAGCACTGGCTGGCTCCAACTATTATAGTATTTTTCCTCTTGCTGATACCTCTGTGGGTTGTGATATGTATAAAAAATAGGTATGTGAATGATGTGATCTACTCCGGCTGGCTTCCTGTAGTCAGCGCCATGACGATCAGCAGGTGAGGCTCATGTTCTGTGTTGTAGATAATAGACTATATTGTGCGTGAGACTTGGTCCCCATTAACCTATCTCCATGGTCTAGTGGATAGAGAGCCTGCCTGTAGTACAGAAGCTCAGTAGTTTTATGGGGGATATTACTGTAATTACAGATATTACAAGGACTGGTCCACTCAGGAGTGTACTGAATAGGGTATCCTTGTTAAACTGTGGCATGGTATCTCATGGGGCTAGCACTATGAAAGTGGCATTAGTCCGGGCTAGTACAAGCAGCCATACACTTTCATATGAAGGCACCTCACCTCACCTCACCTCACCTCACCTCACCTCACCTCACCTCACCTCACCTCACCTCACCTCACCTCACCTCACCTCACCCAGTAACATATGCTTGTCCTAAGGTCTGGAAATTGAAATGGATCTGGTGATTAGGCTCAATGACTTGGCTGGTGGTGTCACTTTACCCTAATTGTGTGGCTCATTTGCTCTTGTTTTCAACCACTTGTTGCTCGGGCCCTGTTCCACAAAGCGATCGTAACTCCCATTCTTTAACATAGACTTACGACAGTTGTAGCTCTATGATCGCTTTGTGGAACAGGGCCCTGGTCAGGTCTTGGAAATAGCTGGAATATTTCTAAAGATGTTAAGCTGAATATTGTCTAAGACATTCTTTACCCTATATATACCCTTGAAGCTGTTATTACTAACCATGCTAACTGGGGGCATCTTGACACCTAAGCTGTAACATCATTAAATGTCTGAATCAGAATTATGAATAGCAGTGTACCGGTACTTACCTTCACAGTCAATATAGATGTATATATAACTGCTAGTCATAAAGATATTCTGTTTTAAGGATGTGAGGAAATGGAATCGCAGACTTATATAGTTGGGACAGTGAGGTTGGAGGCATCTTCCCTAGACAAGAGAGTTTACTGACTATAAAAGTCCAGTTCCCACCCTTGCCGAACTAGGCTGGTATAATGGAGTTATATTTTGGCTGGAATAACGAGCCTATGCATAGTACCGGTACAATCAAAATCACGCAACGAAATTGAAATCTGGTTCTTATACTGTCATGCAGGATTTGCAAAGCATGTGCACCGCTAACTCATAATAGCCACTGGTGGCACTATGATCGAGCCCAGGAATTCCAGCCTAGTTTGGCAAGGTTGGAAACTGGACTTTTTAAGTCAGTTAACTCTCTTGCCTCGAGAAGATGGGTTGGAAGATGAAATACTGAAATAAAAAATTAAGTGGGGACCAGAATGAGTAAAGCAGCAGTTTGCAAATAAATGGAGATTTATTTACCAAAATATTAATTACAGTCTTGTCTGATCTTTTACAATAAATGCAGTCTAAATAGTTCAAAAAAGATTGAGTGCTTAATCTTTTAACATGTTTAACTTTAAAAACGCCAGCAGCTCATTACACATTCTCAATATCTTTTTCAGCTTTGGAGGATTGATTTTAGATTATACAGTGTCAACATATGATGGGATAGCTGTCTTCCAACCTGTCATCAATGGTGAGCAACAAGTTGTATTAGTGCAATATAGTCTTGAGAATATTATAGGTACCAACTATATGTGTAGCCTAGTTCCTTTATCCGAAGGGTCACAGGTGACCTTGTTATCTAAAGCACCGCAACCCGGGATTTGTCCATTACTTGTACCAAAAACTTATGATTCCTGTAAAACCTCTACCTCTTTTACATCATTGCCATAAATCTTGTATTTTGGCTGCAATCACACAAAACTAATCTTCAGAATTTTCAACAGAAGTCCTCTTCACTGTCAACCATGCATAACTAGTTGTCAAGGCAATCAAACTGCCAATAAACATCTAGCTCTTAAGGCAGGAAAGCTCACTTCTTTCCTGTTTGTGCTAGAGTCAACATCAGAGTTTAATATCTAGTACTTAGGTCATGTAGTCACACTAGATTTTTAAAATTCAGATAATAAGTTGTTATCTATTGTTCAACTGTTCAACAGTTAGAAGTCTGTTTTGGTAAAAGGTCCCTCTTTATCTGATACTCAAGTCATGTTGCAGATATGGAATATACAGTTAATACCAGGTCATGTTGTGGGTGTGGAATATACAGTAAATACCAGGTCATGTTGTAGGTGTGGAATATGCAGTTAATACCAGGTCATGTTGTAGGTGTGGAATATACAGATAATGCCATGTCATGTTGCAGGTGTGGAATGTACAGATAATGCCATGTCATGTTGCAGGTGTGGAATATACAGATAATGCCATGTCATGTTGCAGGTGTGGAATATACAGATAATGCCATGTCATGTTGCAGGTGTGGAATATACAGATAATGCCATGTCATGTTGCAGGTGTGGAATATACAGATAATGCCATGTCATGTTGCAGGTGTGGAATATACAGATAATGCCATGTCATGTTGCAGGTGTGGAATATACAGATAATGCCATGTCATGTTGCAGGTGTGGAATATACAGTTAATACCATGTCATGTTGCAGGTGTGGAATATACAGATAATACCATATCATGTTACAGGTGTGGAATATACAGATAATACCATGTCATGTTGCAGGTGTGGAATATACAGATAATACCATATCATGTTGCAGGTGTGGAATATACAGATAATACCATATCATGTTACAGGTGTGGAATATACAGATAATACCATGTCATGTTGCAGGTGTGGAATATACAGTTAATACCATATCATGTTGCAGGTGTGGAATATACAGATAATACCATATCATGTTACAGGTCAGGAATATACAGATAATACCATGTCATGTTGCAGGTGTGGAATATACAGTTAATACCATATCATGTTGCAGGTGTGGAATATACAGATAATACCATGTCATGTTGCAGGTGTGGAATATACAGTTAATACCATATCATGTTGCAGGTGTGGAATATACAGATAATACCATATCATGTTACAGGTCAGGAATATACAGATAATACCATGTCATGTTGCAGGTGTGGAATATACAGATAATGCCATGTCATGTTGCAGGTGTGGGTGGTAACCTAGTTGCAGTACAAGCCAGTCGTATATCTACATACCTTCATAAAAACTGTGTTATGGGGGAGTTGCCGGAGGGTGCACCTCATGGCTGTCCAAGCCCTTTCTCAACTTTCTTCGGCAGTAGTAAGTACACCAGCCCTTGTATCCTACTCAACTATTAATGATTACATCACTTGTTTGCATCTCTATTAGGCAGAAATATTGTTGAGTTTTATTCATTACTGATTACTGATTATGTACATATGTAAATTAGTAGGATATATCATAAAATAGTCCTTTCTAATTTTGAGTCATATACATTGATGCTCTACTTTTGATTAGTTTGTATTTTGAAATTTCTAAAAGAGCATTGTCATTAATGTTTGATAAGCTATTCGTGTTGTATGAGTGAAGTATTATGGCATGACTATTGTACATAGGTACCAACTCAAAGGCAGCCAGAGTGTTGATGATGCTGGTGGTCCCTGGCCACCTGATCTTCATCTATGCCATCTTCTATATGAAGGCAGGTCATACATCGCTCACCATCATCTTCGATGTCATCTACTTGACAGCAGCAGTCCTTCAGGTGAGGCTCCCACTGACACAGTGGCAGTGGAGGTTCTTAGTACACTTGCTGGTCCTCCAAGGGGATTCCATGCTGCCATCCCCCCTCATTGTCTTACTGGGCAAGAACAGGTCCTTAGTGTCCCTTGCTGGACCTCCAAGGGGATTCCATGCTATCATCTCTCTCATCTATGATCTAAACCACACTGGGGCGGTCGGGTAGCCTAGTGGTTAAAGCGTTCGCTTGTCACGCCGAAGACCCGGGTTCGATTCCCGACATGGGTACAATGTGTGAAGCCAATTTCTGGTGTCCCCCGCCGTGATAATGCTGGAATATTGCTAAAAGCGGCGTAAAACCATACTCACTCACTCTTAACCACACTCACTGACTCTGTGAGAGCACAGCTAATGATTCTAGTCCAGTTTGTTGTTGTCATTAATTTTGGGTCACATGTTGTACAATTATGTGTTAATAATGTATGCCAACCAATACACTCTATACAACAGTGCCACTCAGTTTGCATGAACCTCGAGATTTTCACAAGATACCGAGGCCGTGGGATCATGGACCTTAGAATGCATACGTTCTATTCATGGAACTCTCGTATTTGTGTGTGCCCTTAGACAGATAGAGGACTTGTAACAGGTCTATGGTTGCGACATTGCTTTTGCATCCTGATAATGTTTTGTCACTATATATCACAGATTATGACATTATAGACAGGTGGTGAGTTCAGGTTAGAACTGGTTCCAAGCAAGTAATGCTGGTCATGAGTTGATTCATCGGATAGAGTGGTCAGGCTCAGTGACTTGGTCAATTGGGTGTCATTGAACCCTAACGGCATAAATTGTGGCTCAAGAACTGGTTTGTCTGATCCAGACTCGATTATTTAATAGCTGCTGGAACATAGCTGGAACATTGCAGAGTGTGACATTAAACAACACGCACACATATAGATAGTGACTGATGTCAGTCATTGATGTGAGTCACTAGATGTGACTGTTTGTGCCTCCATGTTTCAGGTGATATTTCTACTGTACATTGCCAACTGGATGGTGCACTTCATCTGGAGAAAGGGGGAAGACCCAGACAATATTGCCATCCCATACCTCACAGCTCTGGGCGACCTCCTCGGAACGGGTTTCCTTGCCATAGCTTTCCATATTCTTTTTCTCATTGGAGACAGGGATGCTGATGTTGGGGAATAGAGTGACCTCCCTTGACTAGTGTCTTCCCAAGCTCCTCACAGCGATAGTACGTTCCCGGAGCTCTCTATACTATCGCTGCCACCAGTCAAAACTCCCCACTGTGAATAGGTGGCCACAACCATGCTTGGAGTTGAACTCGCAACCGAATGACCGTTATGTTTACAAACAAGTGACGACTGTCGTGACGCCGAATACACTTATCGCTGCTAAATTACTTTCTTCGTTTGTCAATTTGAATTTCTGTTTCATTAAAACTATCGTGTTATCGATATAGTAAGAATGTAAGGGAGAAGTTGGTTGATTTTCCGTTAGTCTGCAATCTCGAACCAATCTGATTATCAAAACAACAAAGTAAATTCATCTGGAAAACATGGTCAGTCGGAAACCTTTTCAACTTGAAATATGATGGCATTCCCAAAGACATAAGCAAAAGTATAAACGTTACTACATTTGGGGTTAGAGGGCAAATTTCAAGATTCTTGTAATGGCCGCGCCCACACTGGTGGCAGCGATGTTACCGAGAGTGTAGACGAAGGTGTCACGCGCTGGGAATGAGCTTGGTGTCTTTCCTTCATTGACTTCAAGACTATTTTGTTGAAAATGTAAAACAGTGCTTAAGGACTGCATGGTTTGTGTTTTAACTCATCAAAAAAATCCCTGTCCAAGTCAAGTCAAAGCCAAAACAGCAGGAAGATGGAAGAGTTGCTTCCCTTCATTGGATTTTCAACCCTGTGAGGTTATGTTCAATTATTCATCAATCACAGGTTCCCCCCTTGCATATCCATGTCTTTGATCATGAACTGTTGTTGGTGAATGAAAGAGATTGTGTGAAATATGTCCTTGTTTATGTCAGTAAGTTATTGAAGACTTCATTTGTCATCTGATTTTGAGAGATTGATTATGAACATGAATTAATTGAACATAATATTGTATAAGTTATATCTCATAGCAATATTGTGAACAGGAATGATAGATTTACGAATATTTGCCAAAGAAAATTCCATTGGACTGACCATTTCTATAAAAATGGAGTAACCTTGTGGTCTGTGACGTAACAATTTGCGTACAGAGTTGCGTCCCTTCACCAGCCAGGATGCTCTTGGGTGGTGTAAGATTTGCTCCAATAATGATCCAAAGTAATAAATGTGTGTAGCACTTTAGGATTTCAAATTAAGCCAAAATGCCATGATATAACTGAAATACCATTCAACGTGAAATTAGACTCGACTCTCACTATTAAAATCAAAGTTGTCTCCATTATTGTTCACATATGGGCAGAAACATGGATTCTTGACAAACTTCTCACTGGCAACTAAAATTGTTTGTCTTAAAATGTAACTGACATAGTAAGATACTGAATCATTGAATGGGGTTTAGTTCTTATTCTTGAATTGTTTAATAGGGGTTTCTTACAAGTTGATCCATGCCAAAGTAGATAAAGGATTTCTGGATAGCAGCTTCTTTATTATACTGTAATAGTGATGCATCGGTATAGATCCTTGTACTGAAACATCACTATTACAGTATAATAAAGAAGTTTGTTCTGATTCTTGTCCCTGCGTCTTCAGGTTAAGTTGTATACACAAGCCAGTTATGTACGAGGGGCGTGCAATAAGTTTTGCAACTTCAATATAAGACCAAGTCGCAGAATATCTTTTGCACTTTTATTTTTCAATATAATCTCCATTCACCTCAATACACTTATTCCATTTGTCCTTCAAGCTTTTAATACCACTTTTATAGAAATCCGCAGATTGGCCCTCTAACCCCCCTACTGTGGCAGCCTTTATATCCTCGTCATCCTGGAAGCGTCTTTCACGTAGGGCAGATTTCATTTGCCGGAACAGGAAATGGTCACTGGGGGCTAAGTCTGGGCTGTAGGGTGGGTGATTTAACTGTACAGAGGCATGGTTAGAGGGCGAATATGCGGATTTCTATAAAAGTAGTATTAAAAGCTTGAACGACAAATGGAATAAGACTTGGTCTTATATTAAAGTTGCAATACTTATTGAACGCCCCTCGTAAGATTTGGATTAATGTATGTATTTATAAGCCATAATTGTACAAAAGCGGTTATTTATCTTGTCTATATCAATATGCCAGAAACAGGAGAAGGTGCTCACTTGATGGAATACCAACAGGAGGTAATGATGTGTTATTTTAATGTTTTACCTTGTTTTCAGTCTATTTTAGATACAGTTGAAGTTTGTTAGTTACAGGGTTAAATGTAACTCACAGGGAGAATGAATGCTTGGCAAATAGTAGTGTTTATGCATGTAGTGTTAATGCTATTGGCCAATAGCTGCTTGTTTCTCACCAGTACTATCATACATCATACAGGCCTCAGTTGAAGTGTCCTCAATTCATAACAGCCTGATATATTCACATCAAGGTTGCCTTAGGTGTCACACAATATGATTCAAACACCTCACTGGCACCAGTTGGCGTCAATGAGTGTTCAGATAGGTTCACATACATGTATATATACTTCTGCTATTAACTGTGTTAAGTAATAGCTCGTTGGGATTCTAGGTTTGAATAGGTTCCCTCCAACCTATGCCAGGCGTACTAGGTGTCTTTGTATAACAATTGGTTAGGTGGCTTTGTTGATTGCCCATCATTGAACCTTGGTGTATTTCTCTAATGTGACAAGGTTAGTGGGAACGGCTGTCTGTGTGTTGACAAAACAGGATAAGACCAGTAGTTGTTACCATCTTCTTTTTGCTGCAAAACCTTCATAGACAATTTCTTATTGATGACATGTCTAGCAGCACATACAACTTGTCGTGGTTTCTTTCCCCCTCCCAGTTCTGATCTGTTCTACAGCTTGGTCTCTTCCAAAGTTTAATCCAGCTGTGAAGCGTTTGAAAACTAATTACGTTGTGTAGATGCATGAAACGTTGCAGATTGCATGTGAAGTAATAATGAATATATTATTTTAATTGCAATGTTTGTGATATCTTTTTCTCAAGATAAATAGAAAATCAAATAATTCATTTCATCTGTCTTCATCAAGGACACAATGACATTGGCATCAACATACACTGTGTATAGAAATAAGATCATTTTGGGGATAAATTGGAATTAATTAGTTTCAAGTGTATTAGTGTTATCAAATTCAAATGCATTCTTTTTTGTACTCTCATCACTTGCTCAAGCAACTTGAACCTACATTCTGATGTATATGGCGTCTCTAAATTCATGTAGCTCCATGGCCCGTTTTGCCTGGGTTATCACCCCTATATATGGAAACAGTCACTGATGAACATGTACACTGCAATGTCAAGGTCAGTGATACATGTCAAATGTTGCTTTATTCTGTGTCAGTCCAATTTCATCCATTAATTTAGTTATTCATCCGTTATTTGGGAAATATTGGGACAATCAGATATTTCCTACAGTTGAGATCTCATTCAAAATATTCTCAAATATTTTTGGAGCTGCTAATGTGACAGCACACTTAGTATGAGCTATAGAAATTACAGATCATATCTTCCGGTTTGGTGAGGAATTTACGATGTTACTTCACAAGCAAGTAATAGTCTATTTTACCCAAGAAGAAGTCTAATCTGTTCTGTAAATATGATCATTAAGTCATAAAGAACGCGCAACCCAGTTGACAGGGCAGGAAGACGTGACGAGCAGTGCTGTCCAACTTCAATCAGTCGGCAGTGGTGGATCCAAGACATTGAATTTTGGTTGCCAACTACCCAAGTCATGAGGCGAATGAAAACTCATGAGAGACTAACACTGGTTGATGTATAAGGCGTCTGTCTATATGGGGTGTGCACTCCCTGCAACCACACAGCATGCTCCAACTATGGCCAAACAGTCTGCCTTGTGTCACTGACATCTGTGTAAGACTCAAGTCACACTCTGCTCATAGGTGTGGATGTAATAAAGCATACCAATACATGGACATTCACGTCTCTGTTAGAGGCCAGTCCATGGTCTCACGTCCTTTAGTTGTTGTACATGTATTAGAAATACTGCATTACATTTGATGTGATTAAGTGTATATTTAGCCATATTATGCAAATTTGTCATTTTACATAGTGCCTTAGATGCTGTGATGTTTAATGTGTTGAGATGTGTGATTGAAGCTGCTATGTATGTATGTGAGTGTACCTATTGCCTCTCTGTAGCTACAACCTCTTGTCACGAGAGGCGACTAACGGAATAGGGTGGTCAGACTCGCTGAATTGGTTGATGTCTGTGTCCCACTTGCGTGGATCGATGCTCATGGTGTCAATCATTGGATTGTCTGGTCCAGATTTGATTATTTACTGATTGCCGTCGTACAGTTTAAATATTGCTGATGCGGCGTTAAACAACAAGCAAACAAAGAAATCATTGAGCTTCATTTGCAGCAATAGTTGATCCTCAACTGCAGGTCTGTCTTGGTTGCAAGTCCACTAGTCCTCTAGTCAGAGACAAGTATGAGTTTGGAGGACTAGTAGTCCTTTCCTAACTTGTAAGATGTTTTATTCCGGTAAGATTCCTCTCTGCATGAAAGTCTTAACTCCTTAGGAGGCTGCATATCATAACGGAGTAAAGGGTCAGATTTCAATGGCATTTAAACAGAAGTAGTGTTACGTGAACAGCTTTTCCAAAATGATTTGTAGATGATTTGGGTTTTGCTCATGGTGTCCCTTGTATCTGCTGTCTATATATATGTGATTTTTGTATGGAAAGACAACTATGTTCTGTTTTTCTTACATTAAGTTAATTTGGGTACTTTTTTCATCAAAATGGCATATCCAGATTAGGGGCTCCCACTGTAGGACAGCAAGGCCCCAGCCAAGGAGATAGTTTACCATGCCCAATTACTATATCTGTTATTTCATTGTGTGATTGGAATTTATCTATCTGTTATGAATATATCTTTCAAACATGGTAGATGTGACAACTTGTTTTTTTTGTAAAGAATGTTGTATGTCTGTTTATTCACATGTTGAAATTTAACTACAAGTTCGACTGCTGCTGATGTGGTCATATTGCCTTATAATCTGCTCTCATCAAAGCAGAGACCATAACATAAACTCAGATACTTGTTGCATGAATTGCAATCAAATAAGCATCAAATATATTTCCTCCTCTTGACAACATCACAACTGAGTT